TTCAGGGACAGCTCCCAGGCCTAGAGCTCAAGTCCCACGGCTGACAAAAAAAAGAGAGATCTTTCATGTGATTGTTTCTAACATATTTATAAGATTATGTCTTTGCTGCCTTGTATGTCCCTCCCCCATGGTATAACCCCTGCTTTCACTATATATGATGTTGGTATATGTGGAGGGGAAGGGAAAAAACAAATTGTTAAAACAGGGATACAGAAGGACCCATTGCAACAATTGCAACAATGAGATGTACAAGTCGTTATGTGGAAAAACGAACTTTACAACTTTGGTGGGGGGACGGGAGGGGGGTGGAGGAGGATTCGAAGGGATGGGAAGGGGAAACAAAGCAGGAGGCTACAATGCTTGATAAGAAATGTGCTCATTATCTTACCCATGTAATTGTAACCCCTCTGTACAGTATTTTCACAATAAAAATATACTTAAAAAAATAAATAAAATAATTTCCATCTGGGAAAAAAAATAAAATGAAATAAAATACCATTTCACATGGTTATTATAAAAAAGAAAAATAGATATGTGTGTTAGCAAGAATGTGAATAGGGAACATTTGTTTACTCTCAATGGAAATATAAATCATAGCCATCACAGAAAACAGACCTGCCTCAAAAAATTAAACCCAAAATTATCAACAGGCACTAGTGGCTTATGCTTATAATCCAATCAAGGGTTTCAATTCAAAGCCAGCCAGAGCAAACAAACTGAAGACTCCAATTAGCCAGGAAAAAAATGGAACTAGAAGGCCTGGCTCAAATAGCAGAGTGCTGCTAAGAGTCAAAGAGCCCAGAAAGACAACCAAAAGATATGGAATCAGGGGCTAGGAAGGTGGCTCAGTGGTAGAGCGCTTACCTTGCATGCATGAAGCCCTCAGCATCACATAAGCAGAAAAAGCCAAAAGTGCACTGTGGCTCAAGTGGTAGAGCACTAGCCTTGAACTGAAATGCTAGGGCTAGCACCTAAGAACAGAGTTCAGGCCTCATGACTGACAAAAAGAAAAAAAAAGAAATGGAATCAGATTCAAGTGTAAGAATGAGGGGAACTATTGTTTATGAAAACCTTTAAGCTGTATTTATCACTGTATTTCCATGGCATGTATAATGTCTAAAAAGAACGTGTTTGGGGGGGTGGGGGGGGAGGCTGGGAAGGGATGGGAAGGGTAAACAAAGGAGGAGGCTACAATGCTTGATAAGAAATGTACTCATTATCTTGCCCATGTAATTGTAACCACTCTGTACAGTATTTTCACAATAAAAATTTTTTAAAAAGAACATGTTTTCTTAAATAAAGGCTGGGCTAAACCAGTTTCACCTCAAGACAAGTGTGGGAGATGAAATGCGAAGTTCTGATCATAGATCAGGAAGGCCTGTAAAGCTGATAGCTAAGTATTTCTGCACAAAAATTGTCAACCAACAAACTGTTCTTAAAGTCATATTGAATATTTTTGAATGCAAACTTTTACATTGTTATGAAGTTAATTTATGTGATTTTTAATATGGTAAGTTTATCACATCTTACTTTTGCTTCCACTATTATACTCTTTTTCTATATTCTGTCTTCTCTGTTCCTGAAGAAAGGCACTATTAGCTGAGTTTCCCTCACTGCCAGTCTCCACTTTGTAACAGAAAAGAACTTTTCACTGTAACGTCTAGTGCCTGGTCTAGGCCCTTGTTTTCCACTGTGTCTGTGGGAGTTAATAGGAGACTGTCTTTGCACAGTTACCTAGCACACCGTGCACCGGTTTGACTAAAGAAACATAAAAATTTTGCTGTTTTTATCCATTTCTTTTTTCCATTTTTTTTCCCTTCTATTTTCATTCCTTTTTTTTTCCTTTTTTTGGGGGAGGGGGTGGTGTTCAGGTCAAAATTGAACTTAAAGCATGTGCTTTGCCAGTGGGCTACACCATCAGACCCTAACTTTCATGTACCTAGTTTCTCTCTAATTTTTTAAATTTTATTTTACGCTTCCCTTAAGTGTCAAATTAACAAAGTTTAGATACAATCTTATAAAGTCTTGTACTTTAATCTCAAAAACATAGCATAAACTTATTTTTAAACACAGTCAAAATTCCTTACCACATAATAAGGAAAAAAAATTATCCCACAGGTGTGTACACACACACTCTCTCTCTCTCTCTCTCTCTCTCTCCAAAATCTGAAAAGTATCAAATCTCTAACACATTGGGTAAGGGATACTCAACCTGAATAAACACACAGTAAGTTGTATGGTAAAGCTTAGGTTGTATCAACCTAAGCCTGTTTCTCAGCCCATTCAATTTGCCAGTCTGGGGAAAGGAGAGTTGGGATGTGCAAGTTATCTGTTTAACATTCTTTCTTAGCTCTGAAGACACACACAGCTCTGATGACCCTCATTGACACGAGCAGACCCTGAATACCCACTGGATCTTAAGCGTAAGTCCAACAGGGATGAAAATGGAGAAGGTCTAGAACGTATACAGCTAGCCTAGGCCTGGTTCTTAATTGACAGAACTTCAGCCAAACTACTCAGTCCCAAAGGTCTACACAGACAAGTCCACATACTATCTGTGGCTGGAAATATAGTTCAATAGTAGAGTACTTGCTTATCAGTGCTAAAAGGCTAAGGCCTCGGGGATTCCATCCTCAGCAAGATATAGATAGATAGAGAGAGAGAGAGAGAAAAAGAGAGAGAGAGAGAGAGAGAGAAACAGACAAACTACCTCCATGTAATACCATAGATTACACACACATATATATTTATCTATACCTATACTTATATACATATAAATTCACACACACACCCTAAATACTTAGCAGGTATCTACAATTTACCAGACACTATTCTAAGCATTTAGAATGTAACAGTGGGATAAAGGAAAAAAGCAACAAAGTCATCTCTGCCTTCATAGAACTTACATTCTGTTAACACTTAGATATCAAGGTGTTTTCCAAGTATGAACTCACTTAAGATTAAATTAATATCACCACTGTAGAGATGATACAGTGAGAACCAATTAAGAGGGGCAAATAAATGCCCCAGGTACACAAAATAAGAAGAGCTGCTATAATCTGGGATCTGCATTTACAATTCTGATTATTATACACTCTGCCTCTTGAGTTTAATAAAATTGTTTTAGCCAAATAATATAAATGCACTCACAAAAGCAAGCTTCCATATGAACAGGAGCAGGAAGAGAAGCATATGGATGATCTCCAAGACAAATTAAGTTTAAAAAGAGTGCATATATGTTTCATACAGGAAATATGTAATTCACAGTTCTAAAATACATCTTTTTCTTATACTGACAAATGTAGACACAACAATCACCGAGTTCATTTTTAAAATGTCAGACAATCTTCCTTGTATTGACCCCTAAAGCAATGACTATCAGTATGTATTAGTAACTTAAAGAAGAAAATTTTTCATAACAATGATCTATTCCAATTTTGCTGAACAAATTCTTGTAACTAAAACTTCAAGGTACTTTTTTAAAATGTGGAAATCACATTGTTTTGTACCTACTTCTCTCCTCCTATGAATTACAACTCTATTACTCTCCCTCCCTCCCTCCCTGGAGTTTCTGCCCTCATGTGAATGTTTGCTCTCCAGAAAATGCCTCTAATGTTTGTATTGCCCAAAAATGTCCCCACAAACTCTTCTTTAGCTGGCATTAACCAGAATTATTTGCATATTTACAACCGAATATGCTTATAGTAATAAATGTACAAACTGTAAAGACAATGTACAAAAATCCATGTTTATAAAAAGAAAACATGTAAATTATAAAAATATACTGGAAATACAAAACTGTGAAAGTTAAACTTTTTCCTAATTAACCCAGCTTAAGACCCTTATTTCTCATATAAAGATTAATAATCTGTTCTCCTACTTAAAAATCACATTTCTGACATTATAATACCAACTCCTTTTTCCATATGCTTTCAAAGAAGCCTTCAGAAACCAGGAAAGAAGCCACATTTTTCCTTTATCTATTCAACAGGTATTGGATGCTATTATGTGACAACAATATGGGAGATGGAGCAGCAAATAAAAGTTCTTATTTTATGTACTGCTGGGAAGAGAGGAAAAAATAAACAAGAAAAATACCAAAAGTGCTGCTGCAGAGAGCAAGAGACAGACACTAACTCAACTATGTAAAACACAGCCAGATGACTTTGAGATGAACTGGCCAGGAGAAGTTTCTGAAGGGATATTTAAGTTCAATGCTTAGTGAAAAGAAGCCAGTAAACAGCATGGTACAAGTAAATTTAAAGGTCTTGAGGCTGGGAATAGATTTGACTTGTTCTAAAAGTTAATGTGATTACAACTCAGTGAAGAAGAGAGAAAGTCATGTAAGAAGAGGTCAGAGAAAACTAAATGGACTGTATCATATAGAGCTTTGTAACAAACACAGAATCAGGATTTTAGTAATCAGCTGTTACAGAACAAGAATACTATTTATAAGATGCTTACAGAGAATATTTAAGAAAGCAACCAAGATGAGGAAGCTATTTGTTTTGTTTGGAAGTACTGGGGCTTGACCCCAGGTCTTGCACAAGCCAAGGCAGCTATTCTACCACTTGAGACACAAAGCCTTTTCAGTTGTAGTTACTTTTCAGGTGACTTCAACTTTTCTTTTGAGTCAGAGTGGGACCATAACCCTCTTACCTATGTATCTTGTATACCTGGATTACAGACATGTTCCAATATGCCAGGCTTGTTATTCAAGATAGAGTCTTGCTTAATTTTTTTAGTTTTTGCAGAACTCAGCTTAAACCACAATTCTCTTATCTCTTCCTCCCCAGAAGCTAGGATTACAGGTGTGAACCACCTGCCTGGTTTACAAAGAACAATTTCAATCTATCCATATAAAATTATTTAATACTTCCAGCCCCTCCTCCATGTAATCTTTTAAAGTAGCTGATTATGCTTATTTATCATCAAATTTATCTCTTTCCACAGCATGTGAAGCAGAAAAAAAGCTGAATAAAGCAACAAAATATACTTACATCTGGGTATTCTTTTACAGGCACATAAAGTTTCTCTTGTAACTGAACAATAGGTCCCACAGCATCAGGCAATTCTGCACTCCTTTTCTCTGTACTGCCATTTAATGTGTCATTGTACATGTCTTTCCGTACTCTGCTAATTTCTGTTAAAAGTAAAAATTTTAAATGTGTTAGACAAAAAAAAGTTCTTGCTAGCCCAAGAGGATTTAAAAAAAAAAAAGAGAGAGAGGTAAGGGGAAGATTTCATTGATAAAATGTTAACAACTCCAGTGAACAACATCTGGCCTATTCTATCATTCTATCATAAATCAAATTTTACATTTTATCAAATAATACATTTTATCAAAATAAACTTCTGAGCCTGAACTTTAAAACAATATGACGACTTATTTTACCTAAATGTTCATGCTTAATGAGGCAAATCATTTCAAATAGCCTCAATAAAGCACGTATGCCTGCACACGCACACACATACACACATATACCCACCCAAAAAAACCTAATACCAAAGGCCCTTTTATACTTTTAAAATCTGTTGGAATGAGATTTAAACTGTACACTTAACTAACATTTTAGATATCTTTACAATAGTCAAACATGTTTTATAGACAATAAGCTACAAATTTGGCAGAAGTATATGTAAGATAATTTTTTTTTTAGCAATTAAAGCTATATGAGATGTAATGTCTTAGAGAAGGCAAAGGAAGAAAGAACTGAATGAACCTTAAGAAAAGCAACATTCAAGGAGAGAGGTAAGATCCAAACAGAGAAGACATGGAGCAGATAGGAGACCTGAAAGAGAGGTGTCATACATGCTAAGGTGATCCAACAGTGCCAAATTCTACAAAAATATAATAAAGAGCTAAAGGTAATACCATGGATTGAAGCACCAAGAAATTTCAAGGGAAGAAAGGTTAAGGAAACTAAAACAATCCTGGATTATTGAAAATGCTAGAAAGACATTTAAAAGGAAACTACATTAAATGCTCATATATAATTTTTTAGGTAGATGACTTTATGAATCAAATCCTATGAAGAAAATTGATTACTACTTCAAGTATCTATTAAGCTTATAGCAGGTCCTAGAGGACAGGATTCTGGACAGTGGAACAAGCCACAAGGAATGTCATTATGGTTAGTGAGCAACTAGGTTAACGCTCACTGCACTCTATATAACAATGCCTACCTACTATCTTCCTTGGGAAAGAGGCTTTCATCCAAGTAAGTGAATGCTGCATATATTCCAAATAAGAAATTTCAGCCAACTAATATTAAGGAACTATCAGATACAAATGTACTCCTTAATTTTCTTAACCATTTACTTAAATCAGTTAATATCCAACACAGGAAAAAGGTATGGGTCAAAGGTGTTCTTACTCAATTATCAAATCGTAACCACTCAAAAAAAGAAAACCCTGCCCATTTTCTGCTTCAGTAATAGCAAATGGAAACAGTATAAAAGCAAGAGAGTACCTTGGATATGACAAGAATTCACTTTTTTAGTACTTTATGTAATAAAGTACATTTTTATAAACTGTACTTTGCATTTGCGTGTCCTATACTATAAAATGTAAAAGTATAGTTATTTTTATACTTCTAGTTTTATCATGAAATCCTTCATAATAATGTCCAGTATCAAGATAGTGTTTTGCTTAACCAAAGAGCATTAGAAATTTTTAATTAAAACTTCACATATGTTTTAATCAAGATCTCTGTATAAAAGCATTTTAGGTAATTTATCATTTAAATTTCTTCAGAAACTGCCTAATCCTTGTTATTAAGTTAGCACAGCAACAATACATACACTTGACAGTGATAGTCTCATAGAAAAATCATACATAAAAATTGCTTAAACTACAGATGGAAAATAAGTAAAATCCACCAGCATATTAAAAATTGCACCAAAATAATACAGAATTTGATACTATGAATTTAAGAACAGTTCAATGTTTAACAATCTATTGTAACAAGTACCATATAATGTAACCCAATCAGGGAGGGGAAAAATGGTTTTCCAGGTAATCAAGCCTAGGAAGATTAAAAGAATCAATGGTAAACAACTTTTAAATATTAGTGCAAATATGACATTAATATACATATAAGTAACACAGAATCAACAACCTTCTATACACATAAACCAAGTTAGATGATAGAATATATTTACTATTTTAGTTATAATTTCTATAAACACCTGTGATTTTTTTTATTAATAACTAAATGTGCCACAGAATTGTTGCCTACTATGCCTCCAACTTTTTTTTTTAGGGGGGGTCCAGTCGTGGGGCCTGAACTCTGGGCCTGGGCGCTGTCCCTCAGCTCTTCAGCTCAAAGCTAGCGCTCTACCACTTGAGCCACAGCGCCACTTGCGGCTTTTTTCTTTTTGCTTATGTGGTGCTGAGGAATCGAACCCAGGGCCTCATGCATGTAAGGCAAGCGCTCTACCACTGAGCCACCTTCCCAGCCTCTATGCCTCCAGCTTCTAAAATACTGAATGGGTTGGTCCTCAGTAAGTGCCTGATGGAACAGGTGAGTGAGGGGGTAAATGAAGGGAGCAATAAGCTAAGCACTAAACGTAAATAAACCAGTCTAATCTTCGAGACAGGTAAGCATTGTTTCTATTATTATTTTTCAGTCTTGAACGTATCATGCAACTGAAGAACACAATTGTTTTCAAGACAAAGCTGCTGGGAATAAGATGACTCAGATATAGTCGTAATCTTTATGAAATGATGTTATATTCTACAATCACAACTACAGCAGAGGGACAGATAGGGAGCTCAGGGTTCAAGGCCAGCCCTGGGAGAGGAGGGACCAGGGATTTTAATACCCTATCTGGAAAATAAGTAAAGTAAAAAGAGCCAGGGGTTCAGCTCAAGTGACAGAGCTGTTAGTATATAAAAAATGTGTTAATTAATACGAGTTATACCTTACAATAGGAAAGACAGTAACAGATTAGAATGTGAGGCTATATTTACATAAATAATTGAATAGATGAAATCTCCCCACATGACATTATTATAAAGAGGGGAAAAAGTACTTTTATGACAGGTAGCCCCTTAACCCAAAGTGATCAAGTTAAAATGTATGTGTGCTCCCTAGTTTGGTGCACTAGTTTGAGGTGACACAATAGTACTTGTGTGCTCTTTTCTAGCCCAGGATAGATAACCTCAATCTGATCAAGAGAAACTGCAGAATACATCACAAAATAATTCCTCAAAAATGTCTTAAGTCAAAAGTCACAGATTGGAGGCAATAAATAAAGGAACTCTCACCACATGCAGTATGACTTGTAAACTAGTGAACAGTCCTCGATTCGTCCGTATTTTCTAATTCCTATACTGTACTATGGTTATGAGTCATGAGTGTTATTTTCTATTTTTCTGTAGGTCTCAATTTATTTGAAAACAATTAAAAATTTAAAAGCTTTAGTTTGAGCCATCAGAGTGATTTGTTCCAGAGACCAGAGGTGGGAAGAAAGAATAACTAGTTGTGGGCAAAGAATGAATGTCACACAAATGCCTTAGCCTATGAAAAAAAATTTATCCTACTCCATGAAAAAACGCTTTTTTACTAGTAGAACTAAGAAAATAAAACAAAATAATTTATTCTGCAATTTGATTAACACTAAATCAAATTAAAATTAAAATGTTTACTTTCTTAAAGTACTTGGTACCCAAAATAAACAAGTTTTTTATTTAAGGAAGTGCTTAAATAAAGTATCTACTATTCTCCCAAAAAAACACACACACAGGTAAAAGTTCTATGTTAATCTTAACTAAAGATGGCTTTCCTTAAAATCTTCATAGATTATATGTATAATTTTTAGTTACAGTTTAATAGACGCTATTTAGGAAAAACATACTCACTTAAAACCTCACAGAACAGGAAGATTAAAATCCATAAATAATGAACTCTCCATAGGAAGTAACTGTCAACTCCATGTTGGCAGGGATAAATCCCAGAACCATTTTTCTTATGGCTTTGAACTTAACTTTCTGGGTCTCAATATTTTAATGTGTAAGATGGTCAAGTTATACCAAATCATTTTTGTGGTTTCTATCTGCTCTAAAGCACCAACATTTAGGAGCCTTTGCATCTTCCATCTCCCGAAAGCCAACTCCATTTTGTGTTCTGAATCCCAACATGTAAGGGCAGCCCATATACACTCAATTACCTAGTCAGTCCTCAAAGGATTCAATTCTCCTCCTGGAAATGTCTTCCAACTCCTGAACATCTGGATTTAAGTGTTATCTTTGTGAGGTACTGAATCCTCCCACAACCAGGTTCTTTAAACTTAATTATTTAGGTTAGTCCCTGTGTTTACCTTCTTCAAATCCCAAGTCCCTAACAACTAACTACAAATTCCAAGTCCCTAATGACTTCAAATCAGGCTAAAAGCAAAACTGGCCTTCTGAGCATTTGGAAAGTTATGTCTACATAGCAGGGGAAAATGCACTGTTTTTCCTAGATAACAATTCCTTTGATTTTTTTAATTATCCTTTTCAATTATATTCCAATTTCTATCTAAGTTCAATGAAGGAAAAGTTTCCACTGGTAATCATGTATCACAGGTTAGCATGAGTAACTCTTTAATTACACAAACAAAAGTAAATGATGTCAAATAACATTCACAGGGGTTAGAGCAGCCCAAATAAAAGAGAAATCTCTCATACTAGGAAAAATCTGAGGACTACTTTTAAGCCATAATAAGCAATCTATTATACACAACATTCCAAAAGGTAATGCCCTCAAGCACCCAGATTGAATTAGAAAGGAAAATAAAACCTCAGCAAAAATACCTTAGCTCTGTTTTTGTAACAACAACACAAAGAGGTCCTCAAATATCAAAGTAATTGGAAATGAAAACATTTTAACATGGTAAGCAATATGATCCCCTCTAATTAAGCCACAGTTGGTTTATTTCAGAATATCTAAGTAATGTTACAGGAAGGGCAGAACTACATTTATTACATTCTTAATGCCTCCTACAGTATAAGTTTTATTCTAACAAGTATTGGAAATAAATCCTAATATGAGATTTAATATGCAGATTGCAGCACTTTTTTAGATCATTAAAATTCAAATGATTAAAATGGAGACTAAATGCCATCATTTAATAAAAATTTCCAAAATAACCTA